ACAGATACATTCACTTAGGCTGAAGTTACAGATACATTCACTTAGGCTGAAGTAACAGATACATTCACTTAGGCTGAAGTTACAGATACATTCACTTAGGCTGAAGTTACAGATACAGTCACTAAGGCTGAAGTAACAGATATATTCACTTAGGCTGAAGTAACAGATACCTTCATTTAGGCTGAAGTAACAGATACATTCATTTAGGCTGAAGTAACAGATACATTCACTTAGGCTGAAGTAACAGATACATTCATTTAGGCTGAGGTTACAGATACATTCACTTAGGCTGAAGTAACAGATACCTTCACTTAGGCTGAAGTTACAGATACATTCATTTAGGCTGAAGTAACAAATACATTCATTTAGGCTGAAGTTACAGATACATTCACTTAGTCTGAAGTAACAGATACATTCACTTAGGCTGAAGTAACAGATACATTCATTTAGGCTGAGGTTACAGATACCTTCATTTAGGCTGAAGTAACAGATACCTTCACTTAGGCTGAAGTAACAGATACATTCATTTAGGCTGAAGTTACAGATACCTTCATTTAGGCTGAGGTTACAGATACATTCACTTAGGCTGAAGTTACAGATACCTTCATTTAGGCTGAGGTTACAGATACATTCACTTAGGCTGAAGTAACAGATACATTCACTTACGCTGAAGTTACAGATACATTCATTTAGGCTGAGGTAACAGATACATTCACTTAGGCTGAAGTAACAGATACATTCACTTATGCTGAAGTTACAGATACATTCATTTAGGCTGAAGTTACAGATACTTTCACTTAGGCTGAAGTAACAGATACATTCACTTAGGCTGAAGTTACAGATACATTCACTTAGGCTGAAGTAACAGATACATTCACTTAGGCTGAAGTTACAGATACATTCACTTACGCTGAAGTAACAGATACATTCACATAGGCTGAAGTAACAGATACATTTTATTTAGGCTGAAGTAACAGATACACTCACTTAGGCTGAAGTAACAGATTCATTCACTTAGGCTGAAGTAACAGATACATTCACTTAGGCTGTAATGCATTTATGACGTCATGACATGGCCGAAGTTATTTTCATTACAGTGTAGGTCATATACCCATACGTTAATGATAATTGGATGTCTTTATGATTTCATTGTCATTGTCCCAAGTTTTGTCATGTTTTTCCTGGTTGACAGTATGAATCCTTTATAGCCTGCGACATTATCATCATATCCGTTACTTAACTCAGTAAAAACTGTCATATTGGATCTATAAGAAATAAAGTGAAACCTGTCTAATCTGACCCCTGAGTATTCCTGTCATACAGCTGTAATTATTTTCCTAGAATTTTTTTTATAAGATATACCCTTTGTACTCTGACATCATGTCCAATGAAACATTGTGTTAGATCTCACAAAGTGTTAGTTAGAAAGATTGCACAGTATTACAAGTTTATGATTTCACATTTTAAAAGTCAGTACAAAATATAACGTGTGGTGATTAATAGACACAGTGATTAATAGGCTACATAACTATAGTTTGTTCCTTCTAGTTTTCAAATGTAGCATGCATGAATAGTTGTATTATTTCTTGTAATGGGACTAATTACTCACATAAAATCTTGTTTTACACATGATCTTGACTTATCTGGTTTGCCTATACCAATGTCTGATCAAAGGAACTAAATAATATCATATTATGAATTCATTAAATATCAAATACATGTATGGTCATTGTAAATCAGGATAGTGATTTTTGTTCTGAAAACTTTTAATTTTTAGGATGTTTTTGATCATTTTGCACTTATTTCTTTGATTTTTTTTTATAAAATATATATATATATCTGTTTTATTAATTGATGAATCATTAAAAAGGCATCTGTTGGTAAAAATATCTGATATTAAATTCAATATTATCAAAAAGATATTTTTCAGAAATGAACTAAGGGAGAAAGCTTTTAAACAAACCAGGTAGATTGTAATAGGCTGTCGTGAAATATAACTCAACTCTCGTTTCTTCCTACAGCTGATTACGTACTGCCGACAAACCTTCCAGTTAGAATTCCAATCCACATGTCTTCCAGGTAAGTTACAGATCTGTTTCGTCATTTTTAGCTCACCTAGCCCGAAGGGTGTCGTCCGGCGTCAATATTTTACTTTAAACAACTTCTTCTTCATAACCAAAAGGCCTAGGGTGATGATATTTGGCAAGAAGCAAACCAGGATGAAGGGCTACAAAGTTTGTTCAAATAAATGACCTTCACCTATTTTGAAGGTCACAAGGGTCAAATATGTTAAAAACTTTGAACAACTTCTTCTGAACAACCAAAATGCCCAGGGTGATGATATTTGGCAAGTAGCATGCTGGGATGAAGGGCTACGAAGTTTGTTCAAATGAATGACCTTTACTTATATTCAAGGTCACAGGGGTCAAATATGTTAAAAACTTTTAAACAACTTCTTCTCAATAACCAAAAGGCCTAGTATGATGCTATTAGGCCAGTAGCATGCTGTGATAAAGGGCTGCCACGTTTGTTCAAATGAATGACCTTGACTGATATTCAAGGTCACAGGGGTCAAATATGTTTAAAACCTTGAAACAACTTCTTCTGAATAACCAATAGGCCTAGGGTGATGATATTTGGCTAGTAGCATGCTGGGATGAAAGGCAATAAAGTTTGTTCAAACGAATGACCCTCATCTTTTTTCAAGGTCACCGGGTCAAATATGGTCTAAACCTTTAAACAACTTCTTCTGAATAACCAAGAGGCCTAGGATAATGCCAGTAACATGCTGGGATGAAGGACTACCAAGTTCAAATGAATGACCTTGACATATATATTTTAAGGTCACAGGAGTCCAATATGTTTAAAACCATTGAATGACTTCTTCTTAATAAGCAAAAGGGTGATGGTATTTGGCCTTTAACATGCTGGGATGAAGGACTACCAAGTGAATGACCTACGCCCATATTCAAGATCACAGTGGTCAATATATGTTTAAATCTTTAAATGATTTGTTCTGTATAACGAAAAGGTCCAGGGTAATGATATTTTTCCAGAAGCATGCTGGGTTGGAAGACTATAAACTCTGTTCAACCTAATTTTATAATGTCCTTGTTCGACATTCAAGGGCACAGGAGTCATATGTTTAAATCTTTTAATAGGTTCTTATGAATGAAACACTGATATTCTGCCTGTAGCTGTATTTTAGTCCACTTTTAAGATTACAAGTGTGAGATTAATACCAGGTGAGCGATGCAGGCCCATTGGGCCTCTTGTTTTTGTATTCACTGTGGAAATCACATCCCAGAATTATAAAGTTACCCAATATGCTTTAAAAGATTCATAATTATAATACAACACAAAATTACATATTTTACTTGAAAATATTTAGGTTTTTAGCTTTGATGATTGAAAAGCTGCACACGTACGTCAAATAAACCTGTTGTAATTTGATGTTATTTGTTGTTGTTAATTGTAGAAGTTGTGACGAGTAAGCCTAACAGCCGGTTCAAGGACTGTGCCCAGGGGTTTACCTGTCCATTCTGGGGTAAACAGGAGATACCTACGGTGTGTTGGACAGGACATCTATATATACCATAAAGAAATATAAAAAAATAGTTTTTTTCTCAAATTTAAGATATGATACAATATAGTGTGAAATATGTAATAGAAAAAGTAGAATCTACTCGAGTGATGCCCGTAGTAAAGCAATTCTCTATCTTAAGAGGCCACCGTTCTATCATCCCACAGGCAGTTTACTGCGTTATTACACTTTCATTTATGGACATCCTTTGAAAGACTGTTAAGAGGGTCTTTTTATACATGTTTTACTGTACAGGGTGTTTGATAAAAAAATACACTAGCTGCTAAAAAAATATTAGTTAATGATTTTTTTTGTATTTTACACTACATTTGTATATGACTATCTATGAATTATGAATAATGAAACATGCTTTGGATATTAATTGAATTATTGGCATAAAGATAGTTAAAATTGCTTTTTTCACTATTTGTGTAGATGAAGCCCCTGTTTGGAGATGAAGACTTCCTCAAGGAACAACACATTCTAATATCTGTGAGGTCAAAATGTGGCGACAATGAATCCTACGGTAAACATTCAGTTCTCCTGATCACAGTGCTGGTTTGAAACATCAGAGACTAAAACGTGTCATATCAAAATTTTATACACGAACAATGTATGTACTAAATGTTTCATGACCCACTGGTCCCTTTATCACGCTATGACTGAAATAGCTTGACAGTCATAGCGTGACGTGTCATAGCGTAGTCATAGTATGACCAGTCATAGCGTAGTCATAGCGTGACCAGTCATAGCGTAGTCATAGTGTGACCAGTCATAGCGTAGTCATAGCGTGACCAGTCATAGCGTAGTCATAGCGTGACATAGCGTGACCAGTCATAGCGTAGTCATAGCGTNAGTCATAGCGTGACATAGCGTGACCAGTCATAGCGTGACATAGCGTGACCAGTCATAGCGTGACATAGCGTGACCAGTCATAGCGTGACATAGCTTGACCAGTCATAGCATGACATAGCATGACTGGTCATAGCGTGACATAGTGTGACCAGTCATAGCGTGACATAGCATGACATAGCGTGACCAGTCATAGCGTGACATAGCGTGACCAGTCATAGCGTGACCAGTCATAGCGTAGTCATAGCTTAGTCATAGCGTGACCAGTCATAGCGTGACCAGTCATAGAGTGTCATAGCGTGACCAGTTATAGCATGACCAGTCATAGAGTGTCATAGCGTGACCAGTTATAGCATGACCAGTCATAGAGTGTCATAGCGTGACCAGTTATAGCATGACCAGTCATAGTGTAGTCATAGCGTGCCCAGTCATAGCGTGACATGGCGTAACCAGTCCTAGCCTGACATAGCGTGACCAATCATAGCGTGACCAGTTATAGCATGACCAGTCATAGAGTGTCATAGCGTGACCAGTCATTGCGTAGTCATAGCGTGACTTAGCGTGACCAGTCATATCATAGTCATAGCGTGACATAGTGTGACCAGTCATAGCATAGTCATAGCGTGACATGGCGTAACCAGTCCTAGCCTGACATAGCGTGACCAATCATAGCGTGACCAGTTATAGCATGACCAGTCATAGCGTGACATAGCGTGACCAGTCATAGCATGACCAGTCATAGCGTTACATAGTGTGACCAGTCATAGCGTGACCAGTCATAGCGTGACATAGCATGACCAGGCATAGCGTGACATAGCGTGACTAGTCATAGCGTGCCCAGTCATAGGGTGACCAGTTATAGCATGACCAATCATAGCGTTACATAGTGTGACCAGTCATAGCGTGACCAGTCATAGTGTAGTCATAGCGTGACATAGCGTGACCAGTCATAGCGTGACCAGTTATAGCATGACCAGTCATAGCGTAGTCATAGCGTGGCATAGCGTGACCAGTCATAGCGTGACCAGTCATAGAGTGACATAGCGTGACCAGTCATAGTGTAGTCATAGCGTGACATAGCGTGACATATCGTGACCAGTCATAGCGTAGTCATAGCGTGACATAGCGTGACATAGCGTGACCAGTCATAGCGTGACATAGCGTGACCAGTCATAGCATGACCAGTCATAGCGTAGTCATAGCGTGACCAGGTCTAAAGAGACAGGTATGGACCTAGTTATCGTCTTGTGGTTACCTACAGGTGGTCTATACAGGCAGATATGGACCTAGTTACTTACCTGTGTTTACCTACAAGTGGTCTATACAGACAGGTATGGACCTAGTTACTTACCTGCGATTACCTACAGGTGGTCTATACAGACAGGTATAGACCTAGTTACTTACCTGTGTTTACCTACAGGTGGTCTATACAGACAGGTATGGACCTAGTAATTTACCTGTGATTACCTACAGGTGGTCTATTCAGACCGGTATGGGTCTAGTTACTTACCTATGATTACTTACCTCTGATTACAGGTGAGTGCGTTGTGGAGATGAAAGGAAAGTTTGACCTCATGCCGCAAGTCTTTGAGTTTGAACTTTTACACCAAGGGGAGGTCACTGGAACTCTTAGGTGAGTTTAATAGATTTAAAATTATATGTTATGTGTTTATGTATGAAATATTGGAATTTTAGTTAGAAAATCTGCCAAACCATTGGTTCCAAGTAAAGAATGGTTCTTATGCACTATTTATAGAAGAAAATAATATTTGATTTCAAAACCAATTTCAGGTTAAATTATTTCTATTACATAATTCATTATGCATGCATGATAAATGATTGTGCTTTGAATATGGCATGCAGTTTGTTTTTCACTATATATAAAACTGTCTGCTGTATCACAAATGATGGTCCTGTTTTGTAGGGGTCAACTGCAGGTGTTGACTGGTCCTCTGGCTGTAGGGCGCAAGAATTCAAAGAAGAGTTATGGTATGGTCAAAGTTCACTCGGTTAAATCTTTAGGTTGTGATGTTACACATGTAGGCAGTGACTTTTTACATGTATTACACTCACGACCAAATATCATAATGGTAGTGGTTTACATTCTGACAAAAATGGCATGCCTGCATGTCTCAGGTAAAAAGGTAGCAGTTATATTCCTAAAATTACAACATAAATTTCACATTTCATTACATTGAAGACATACTGATCCAGATTCCTATAATCCAAAGAAGTAACTAGGATTGGTAACTGAACTGGGGCCCCTGGAACTGTTGACATTTTATCCAGATTCCTATAATCCAAAGAAGTAACTAAGATTGGTTACTGAACTGAGGCCCCCTGAACTGTTACATTTTATGTCTTCTTGTCACTTACCTCATATGTCATACCAGAAGCCCCAAGGAGCTTAAACATGGTTTAAGGGGTCTATGTCAATTCAAAAATAAGTAAAATGGTGATAGTTTAAATTTTAATTAAAATGTTAAATATACCTTTCTTTCCAGGATCTAAGACAAAGTTTCTTCTTTATAGATTACTGAGTATTAGGAAAATGTCATTGGCGATAATTACAGGTAACTGACAAAAAAATTGGCGAGAACTGTTATTGGTAAAGGTTTAAATGTTTTTATTGTGGCAATTATAGTTATGATGTTCAGTTGTGATAGAATGCTTATGTCCTTTGTCACACAGAGCTTATCGCATTGGATACGGAATACCACGACCCCGAGTTGTGGCACCCAGAGTCACCGAAGTCGGAGCGGCGGGAGCGGCTGTCGGTACAACTGCCTAATTTGGACACGGACCTTCCAGTGTATGAGGTAATAGATATGAACCCAGCAGCCGGTGGACGACAACATAAGGGTACCAAGAGTCCTGCTGACCGTCCACCAGCGCTCCTACCTCGCCCGGTGCAAGAGGAAACTCAGGTACAGGAATATATAAATATGTTAAATGTTCTTGAAGTTAAATTAGTCATATATAAAATAAGGAAAATTTGTGAATACAATAGCAAATTTCCAGAACACGAAACATGGAAATGAAAATTTGTATTTATAGAACTCCCGGTCCAAAACACAACCATACATGGGACAGGCCAGCCTCCAGACGAGACAAGTGTTACCAGCCAGTTCTACGTTACTTGGGTCAGAGGTCACATCACACACCAGACCCCCAGACATTCCACCCCCACCTCTTCCAAAGAAAAGTGGAGTAATGACATACCCGGTATGTTGCCTTCCTCATCACTCAATAATCATTCTGGGTAAAAAGCTCAATTTCATTCTTGAATCTGACCTCAATAAAACAATATCCAAGGTTTTGAATCAAAGCTGTATTCAAGGATATGTGAGGAGGGACATCAAGCACAAACCTGGTCATGAAATGAAACATATCGTTAAAAGATCCTTATTCACATTTGCTAGGAGTTTATTCAGGTGTTCAGGAGAACATCTAGCAGTTGAATGGGAAGTGAAATAGATTGTGTATTTTTGCAAGAACAATAACTATTTATGTTTCAGTTTTGTGTTTCAAATCTTCAATTCAGATTTTCAAAAAGCTCTAACAGTATGGCAAAAAATATTGTTGAAATTTTCTTTATATAACCATCAATGAAATGTGCTTTCTTGAAACCAATCGTGTCAAAATGCTCTCACACTGACCAGGCTTTGGTACACAAGATAATTTGATATGAGAGTTGTCTCCCTTGACATATTTGATTGATAAATATTGTATCGCCGCATCAAAGTTTTCATATACTGGCACTATAACAAATATTGCACAACACATTGAGCCATATGTTATTATATGATCTTTACATGTACAGTTGTTAAAAAAAATTGCTAATGGACCTTTGATTTGCAGGCCCTTTATAACTCTTTCGTTTGACTGACCAGCCCATGATCTGCCATATGGCCAAGTATGTACTACGAAGTATTATTTATATGAAGAGATGAATCTATTATCACTAGCCAAACTTGTGTTACAGGACCATGCTATGAGGTACGACTCACTGAAGAGGCCCTCAAGTGTGACTGACTGGCTTTTAGGGCTGAGCCTGCCGGAATACATAGAGAGGTTCATCAAAAACGGATTCGACACTCTGCACTATGTGACCAATATAAGTTCTGATGATCTCAATGAGATAGGCATTGATAACCCTGTGCACCAAAGTCGTATCATCAACAGTCTTCGGGACATGAAGTGACATCATGTGACTGTACACAGATGGCTGATGACTATCTATATAGTTATATGAATCATTCATCAGTTGCCCTATGTTTAACATCCTGGGTAGCATGGTAAATAAAACTGTCTAGGTTTTATCTTATTATTTTGGTTTGACCACAGAAGTTATATGATATATATGAGCTGCTGATCTGTTCCATAGCCTTGCTTCTCTTACAATTCTCATACAGATAAAATCTCATTGCTATAACCCATTGGCTTAATAATACAATTTTCTTTTTCAGATTTTCTTTTGTTTGTTTTAGCACCATTTGAGTATATTATTTGATTATCATTTTATAGCTCCATGACATTGATTTGTTATTTTCAATTCTAATATAGATGAAAATGTGAAATATTGACATTTGACCTTTATATTATTTAGTAAAGTTATTATTTTTGTAACAGTATATATAATTTACTTAGCTTTATACTTCTGATCACTACTGAAGAAATTTGTGACCAGCTTCTGCTTTTTTGAATCCTGGAAAATTTTCCAGATTGTAGAAATCTGAAACTTTTTTTACCAATTTCTTTTTCATATTTAATCTCTGAAACTTGTTATTTCAGACGTTAACTTATTCACCCCTGAAGACACATTTGAGCTCTTCCAATTCAAAGGTTGGAATAGTTCATTACAAAATTTCTTGGGTGAATGAGTTAATGTGTTTGGACTGATGGTGTTCCCCTGTATATATTTCTAATGGGAAGTCCTTGGATTATCTGTCCTGAATTACATATGCCCACAGCTTGACCTTTAACCCAGGCAGTGTACATATCATTAGGGTAACCAAGTGACCAATAGGAATGGAAAGATTTTAACCAATCATCTATAGATGTAACATTTTTGAGAAGTTTAGCAGTGATCAATTCAATACATTCCCCAAGGAAACTCTCAAATTCAGGAGTGACTTTCTAGACCTATAGGATATTATTGCCAGCTTTTTTTACTGTTTAATTACTAAATCTGTATTAAACCTTATCACATATCGAGTCAAAAAATCTGTAGTCAGTACAGGGTTACTTTCGTTTCAGTGAAGAAACATTTCCTTCAATAGTCACTACTACACATGTATTACAATAATTATCATAAACTAAGAGATATCTCAAAATGTCCCATTTGTCACAAGTAAACCCATTTAAGATGATTTATTTATTTATACCTCCTATACAAAATACTCTGTTTTAATGTTTATCTCGAAGTTATATCAATATCAATATACGTCAATGTAATAAAGATGGAATAATATTATAAATATGAATCACAGAATCATCTAGACCACTGAATTGATTAAAATGATTGATGTGTATTTTCTTAAAACAAGAGATGTTTTAATAATTGTCAGCTCTGTATAAAATATCCACAAAATAACAGTATTTTCATAACATGTAAATTTCAGTTTTTCATCTTTTTCTTAATCCATTTCATTGCTTCCAACACATGGCAATTTTGGATAATTTTGTGAGTTCATTTTGAAGACATTTTCCACAATTGGGAAAATTGGACATGTATTATTTATGAATTTGTGCAGAAAGTACTGATATTTGTATGCTTAATGACATAGCCAGTTTTTGTCTTCAAGTACCATGTACATGTCTTACTTTAAAAGAATTGAATTCTTTCATACAATTGGTGTTTAGAAACTGCTGATGGCATGTATCAAGGTACCACTGTGGATGGTACCGTCTTATAGGTATTAAGATTTAATATATTTGTAACCTTAAACAGATGTTGAAATTTAAATCTTTGTCAGGTTTAACATGCTAACAATTATTTCTATGTGAAAATGTCTAAAGCTGTTTCGTGTCATCATATATGTGTGTTCTATTTTGATAAATTTATTATTATATACATTTTTATTTTATTGTTTCATGCGTATGAAATTTGCCATAGTGCTTTTATGCTATGTATAAATGATATAGCTTACTGATGTGTATATCTACTCTGACTGTTAATTCAGAGCGACATGTCACCCTGGACACTCCAGGGGTTACGCTCACCCCTGGAATATGTCATTGCAAAATCAAAGGTTCAATGTGCGCCACCTTGTGGATGATACAAGAAGGCTAGTTGATCTTTGATGTACATCAAAAGAGGCCTGTTCAGGGTAAGCATAATGATGAAATTGACTGACTTTGAGGTAAGATGTTGCTCTTTTGTCATCTTCGAAGGACAGGTACTGTCCTAGCAATTGGTTAGTATTTGATCTGAGACCATCAATAACTAGCTGCATGCCTTTAATTTTGCCATGACATATTCTCGGAGTACAGAGAGTGTAACCCCTCGAGTATTGAGGACGAGTGACGTGTATGTTTGAAGCCACCTTAATGTAATTCTCACATGCTCCTTTATTATCCTGAAACTGTGATTTTCATGATTTCAAGAAATATCCCAGTCCAAATCAGACCATTATTTTCTTTCGACCTCGGGTTTGAGCAAAGCCAATACAAGTAAAAAGGGACAAGGAAACAGGGCTACTAGGCTACCAGCACTTCAGCGTCACAACACTTGTATAGCCTTGCTCAAGTCGCAAATTAAAAACAAAATAAAGGGGCCACTAGAATCAAACACATTTGCATACACATGTGTAGTGTACATTGTACAGTAATGTGAAGTAAGTTTACAAGGAACATGACAGGTGTACAGAGTATAATAATCTTAAAGAAACGTCATTGCAAAAATCATTCATCAATTGCCTTATATATAAAATCACATTGCACGGATTCTGAAGATGTTAGCGAAGATTGTTAGAAAATATTTTTTCATTTTTCATGCCATTCACATGTGTGTAGATGGCATGAGGACACAGCTTTTCAAAGCATGGTTAGTTTAAGAATTAATTATGTAAAGAAATTTTTTGTGATAAATATTTTTGTGATAAATACTCACATCCTAGAGTAAAAATTAATTAAAACAAAGACATGCAATACAAATTTTTGTTTTGTTTGATATTCTCTTGTTGGTCTGTTTAAAAAAACTAATTTGAAAAATAACAGTGAATCTATCAAGAAAGTTGACTATGCTTTGACCTTCTATGTCTAAGCAGAAGAATGTTATAAATAAATAGTTGTTTACCAATTACCTTGTGTCCTTTAAAGGAACACACGCTTATATTGTATGATGAAATTCATCAACCATCGTCTCCACAATTATGTGGAATTTATTATTTTGTTTACAAAACTTTGAGATTTTGTTTTATTTTCACCTGTTGTTTATTTGACTTAAGGCTATATATATATGCTACCATACACACACATGTTTACCTGTGACTTGTGTTAAAGAAATCTCTTTTAAAAAACATTCATTTGTGCTTTTATTAAAAGTAACTCAAGTACATGTATTATCAATGCATACAACCTTTTTATAATGTGGTATAATTTCTTATCAAGAGGTGTTAATTAACATTAAAAAAACAATTCGAAATTTACCAGATCAGTTTTGGAAAGGAGAATCTCCATTCCAAATGAGTTCTTCACTTACATTTTAAATTCTGAAATTTAACAATGTCCAGTATGGCATGACTGTTGATGATATCATTAGTTTTAATGTTAAAATTGCATATACCCAGAAAAGACATGATCCGCAGACAAAGAGCACGAGATTTTTAATCTCGTTCAGAAAAATTTAGTGTGATATTTCTGAAAAAGAGGTGTAAATATCGTGGCCCAGAGTGGTCCCTGTGAGTTATAAAAGGTAGCCTATTTCTGTAAGTGTTAAGGTGTTATATATCCTCTGTTGCTTATGACATGGTATTCTTTTGCTGCTTTTTAGAAATGAGTGTGCCATGCATTACCAGTCTATTGCCGTATTGTTATCATTGAATAGACACGCCTGTAAAATACCACCTACATTTGTAATATGATTGCAATTTATCTGGATATTTCAGTTGTTTTTGCTTGTTGATGTTTTCAAAATAAAATTTTAAAATTAAATATTAAAATCAGTCCATATTTAGAATTGGGAAAATCAAATATCTTAAATTTAAAAATTAGAAAATGTCTGCAAGATATGAATGCCCTCATCACCATGTGAAATTAGTTTCAATGTTTGACGGGACGCAACGCGACCTGGCCTGACCGGATGTACATGGGTAACATTATATCCCCCCCCCCCCCCCNCATTTTTGTTGCAAAAGATGTAAAAGAAATCCATACACTGTAACTCTGCAGTATGTAAGTAATGTTAATACAAATGTTACAGAAAACAGCTTAAAGCTGACACAGGAAGTGAAGTGCTTTCTCATTCCTTCTATCATTGGATAACCAATTTGTTATCTTGTTTTTCTTATGATTGTTTCTGGGTTATTTTATCAGCCATGATGGTGTGATTAAATGTTTTTACATCTTGCTCAACAGCTTACCTGGTTTTCCTACACGTATACCTGCAAATAGCAAGTTTGTTTATCAATTTAATTATGCCAGACATCTGTCCCTTTGTTCTTTTACATACCGTGTGACCACAACCAGTCCCAGTTTTTGACCAAATCTTTTGAGATTTGTTGTTTGATGATCATCATATGAAAATGAGCATATCTTTAAATTGAAATGCTGTATCAAAGTTTGTGACAGATATGGCTCTTTGTTATAGCAGGCATCGTGACAGCATGCATCATTCCACCCCTTTGGTACTCTTCTTTCTTCAAAAGAATGCATCAGAACAGTTCTAAGTATCACTCTTTGGATTAATCATAAACCTCCCTAGAAAGTCCATTTATAAAGAGCCATTGTTGAAATTGTTTGGTTCAAATATCAAACCCGGTCCTAAAATTACCAGAGCATCTTTATTTTATATGTATCTCTTTAACTTTCAATTATTTCACCAGTATACAATGCAAGAGAACCATGCATCCTCGTAAGTTGCCAGTGATATATATTTGTCTGATTAACATTAATTTCATCAATTAATCACAAGTGTATATTTTGAGCCACAATGACGTGTCTGTTTTTGTATGAATGCTCAGATACTATTTTCAGGGTAAAAAGAAAAGCATAATAATTTGGTTTCTAATATATGTTTATATTAGTATGGGATGTCTTCAGTTGCTGAAATTAAGTGTCTCATGCTTATTAAGAAACTATGGACATGATAAGATGATATTAGGTTTTTATTTATGAGACCATTACGGTGTGGTATGATGAGCACCATAGCTGAATATTCATCTTGTGTATAAAGAACTGATTCTGTTATATAATGACATAGCATTTTTCTAACATCTTGGAATTTGTTTTGAATTTTATAGTTTAGTGGTAAAGTACATTTTTAATCAACTGTCATGTGTCAAATCTGACTTCTATTGAAGATCCACAAGGTCTACATACAGTACATGATTTTCACCAAAACATTGTTTGTAGCACTAACTATGACAGTATACACATGTGTTGTATGTTATTTGTATTTTCTTCTGTCTCATTCCTAGGAAGCAGAAAACTCCAAATGTCAACATTATTGAGATAATGACATTTCAAGTGCCAAAAGTTATAAGAGTAATGTTATACTTTTATTATTTTTCTTTAAGAAAAATTCAGTGACAGTTCAATTAAATTGTTCAATTTCTGTTCCCAAGACCTTTAAACATTATCTGCACACAGAATCAAATTTGAATGTTGTCTATGTTTTTGGAGTCATATAATTTCTTATTTTATTTTACAAATATGAACTGTAACAGGGCAAATTTATTGTACCACTCGGACAGATACATGTATAGTCACAAATAAATTTGTAAGAAGTATGGACTATATTTTCTAACAAAAATAAAAATTAAAGGGATAGGAATGAGGGGCATTAGCAGTGCAGAAAGTGTAGGAATGGAGTTTGGATTGGAGAAGTGGGGAAAATATTCTGAAATCTGAAACAATAATTGTTGTGGGTAATTCAGAGATCATCAAAATGTTGATATTTCTATTGATGATTGACCTGGTCTGAATGGACAATTTTGAAACTTGAGTGTCTTACAAACGCTTCGTGCCATTTCCTGATTTTTCATTGTGATACTTCAGACTTTTTAAAGTGGATGCCATGTTGGCTTAGTCGAGTTTTACAACCACAATTCTGACGATGTTCAATTGACATGTACATCTGATACAGCCTTCATATGATTTTGTACAACCACAATCTGATGATGTTCAAATGACACGTACATCTGATACAGCCTTAATGTGATTTTGTAAGAAGGAATTCAATACTTCCAGCAAATACTGACCAACCTGAAAAATTATACTGTATACAAGGAAATTTCTGTTGCAGTTAAATTTTCGCCTTTTTAGAGGGCAAACTTATCATTACAGGAACATTGCCCAATGGGTGATAATGGATTTTACGGGATAAGGGCAAAAGCTTGACTGAGCGAAAATTTCCCAGTATACAGTAACACTGTCAGGACATTGTATTTGGCTTTCTTATGAAGCTACATTGAAATCCTTTCAGCAGAACTGGAGTTTCTGTTCAAAATATTTTTTTCAAAATGGCAGTTGTGATGGCTATCTTGGATATCAGACCAACCTAATCATCACTTGAGAAACTAAACTAACATGGTATCCATTCATTTTCATTTGGAAGACAACTCGAGCACGATGTTTTTGATTTTTCAAAATTGTCCATTTAACCATGTCAACAGAAATATAATTTTAATTCCGGTACATTGTATTACTGCTGTTATTATATGGAACAATAACATTTGATATCATATTGTTATCCTACAATAAAAAATACTATTAACACAACAATAAACCAATTTAAACATGATTTCTTTTGTGGTTTATTTCTTGTGCTTCTTGTACCAGGTATATCGATTCCATTATTAGCAAAGGATCAAATAATGGTTGAACATGTCCAGAGGAGAGCCACCTTACACCACTGTAGACCATTATGGACTCATCCATATCAATGCATGGTAGATATGATAATAATTAACAACATTGGTGTTGTGGATAAATTATTCACAATGTCCCCTATTACAACTACCAGGACATTATAAGAAGCTCTTGAAATCAAGGTCAAGATTAAATGTCACTATGAACATATTTGACAGTGGATATATGGAACAGTCTACCTGAATATGTGATATCCTCAACTAGTGTTGATTCCTTCCATTCATGTCTATTTAATAACTGGCATCATCAACCCTCTAAGTTCTACCCTACATGTCATCAACCCTCCAAGTTCTCCCCTACATGTCATCAACCCTCTAAGTTCCCCCCTACATGTCATCAACCCTCCAAGTTCTCCCCTACATGTCATCAACCCTCCAAGTTCCCCCCTACATGTCATCAACCCTCAAAGTTCTCCCCTACATGTCATCAACCCTCCAAGTTTTCCCCCACATGTCATCAACCCTCCAAGTTCTCCCCTACATGTCATCAACCCTACAAGTTCTCCTCTACATGTCATCAACCCTCCAAGTTCCCCCCCACATGTCATCAACCCTCCAAGTTCTCCCCTACATGTCATCAACCCTCCAAATTCTCCCCTACATGTTATAGTGTTGCTGTATCGTACAACTGACTTCTGTGATGATACGCCTTTAAAAGCCTACAGGGCTTAAAATAGTGTTCAATGGACAACTGACATAATAGTCGGCGTAATAAGATTTGGCAATGATGATAACACCACAAACAGGCGCACAAAAGCAAACTGACAAGTATTGCATCATGATACATTGATTTTAATGTTCCTTTGCCTGGACATTTTTTACACTGTAAATTATTTTCATATCTAATGTACTTTATTTATGAACCATGTCTGAATTCAAGCATTTGCATCTTAGAGGATGCTGTTGAAACATTGATAAATCAATAGAAATTATCTTTACAGACAATTCAAATTTATGTACAAGTCTCATAACAGATTATTGAGAAAATTGATCTCCTGTGAAATAATGTCATACACAGTATAAAGAATACACGCACAGCTCTGCCTTTTGTTTCATCAACCTATGGCTATGCTCCCCTGAGATAACCTGTTACTATTTCAACAGCTGGTGGATGGTTTGTTACTATCCCCGCAGCAGGTCCGAAGTTTGTGTTACACAAACACCAATACAGTCTGGCTGAGCGTCTGCTTTTTCACTCCAACAGAAAACTTATGTAAATTGTCGGAATTCTCTGTTTTATTCTCTCGTGCAGACAAACCCAACACCGATCCTCATAGGTGCACTATAAGGGGAGTTAACTCAAAGCTAATAGGTCCAGCATAGTCACTGATTAGCTCTTAGCTTCCATCGCCTATCTGCCCCGAAGCAGCTGGGCCTTTGGTAATTGATAGCTGCCGCTGTGCTTGCTGATGTTCAATATGAAGTTTGCCGAGGTCCATCAGCCTACTTCTGATATGGTCCATACGATGGTAAGCTAACGTCAGGTCTTTCTGTGCAGCGTACGATGACCCTTCATGTGGCTGACCTATTTAGAGAGAATAACGTTAAATTAATACATGTATGTGTAAATATGCATACATCAATGTGACAATCAATCTCAGCTTGAAAAGTCAATATAAATGTGCAATCCAAATGTTTTCAACCATTTTTGATAGAGTTTTATATATAGACTATAGAAACCAATAAACCAATCAAAGATTTTGTACAAGTATTTCATATCAAGTGTTTTATCCAAATATTAGGGCTGTAACGATACACCTATGCCACGATACGATACGTATCACTATATCTACCCACGATACGATACAGGATGACAAAATGTTATGCTTCCTCTTTAAGGAGGCTCCACCCTTTCGCAATTAGCCAGCAGAACTCAATAAAAGTTTCACATAATGGTTATGTCACTATGTAGAGATGATTTTATGAAAATCTAAGCATTCCGATAAACTGGGGATTTTTTTGTAAAAAATATCGAAAAATTGAATTTTTGTCAAATTCATCACTTTCACATTTTTTGAGCGTGTGGCATTGTTCAAAACTATTACAGCAATAAAATAATGAAAAGAAACATTGCTAATCAAACCTACAAATATTTTATTTATCATAAAATGTCTACAACATGTTACAAAAAGCGTGTTTTTTTTAAATTGTATGGATAAAAGTTACTAAATACAAGCTAAAAGCAAACAGAACACATAGCTTCATACAAAAAGAGTGAAAAATTGAACCAAATACACTCAAAGTCTTTAATATAACTCATTTATTTTACACTTTTTAATAATTTTGATCCTGACGAGAGCTGTCTACCTTGAAAAAAATCGGAACTTTTTGCAGAGGGATAGAATTTATACAATGACACTTATTTTCCTTGCTATACCAAAAACGACTGAAATAAATTAAATTGCTATATTTAATTGTCAATTTACTGTTCTTTTATGGAACAAAATTACTCTCAATCATGTACACTTTGGACATCATTCCATAGCCCGCTTACGCATGGTATATTAACATTTCAGGTACATATGTAACCATGGGCTATCGCATGGTATGACATTAATATGCGCACGCTCATGCACTTGCATTTTATAGGATCTTGATATTTCACAAACCAGAGCGTAACTCACTCGACAACAAAAGTCGCAGTGACCAAGAGCTTGTCAACTACTGTTAGCACGTGATACGTACAGGTGAGGTCGGTAAACAAAACACACCAGGCTGCATTCGATGCGCCTCATATACGACCTTCCTGAAGTCGTCTGATCGTCTGACAGTGTTTTCCCGTGAGTTAATCAATGTCTTTGTATCATAAGCTTTATTTCTGAAGTACGTGTGATTACACATTTCCAAGTGAAGTCTCGATATCGGGTGTTGACATATCATCGTCACGCACGTGTACTATATTGTTTACCCGGTGTTAATATCATTAACACTACGGTAATGGAATGCCCGATACGCAATACGGAAATGACGACACGAAAACACGACAAGAAAAACGTATATTACGAAGGGTGGAAAGTCCTTAAATGCGTCGCCATGTTTGATGTGTTCCCTGACTTGTAACTAACATCTACGAAATATATGCAGCAAGTGGAGTGATTTTCTATCGGGGACATTTAGCCGGAAACTAAAATGCTGCCAAACAGGCGAGCGAAAGGAAGCGGGAGGTTTTTTTAATTGAAGCTCCGCCATGTTGCATGCTTGCTTATGCAAAGTTTTGTAACAGCACCGCTTTTATCATACGTTACGTTACACATGTATGGTTAAATTCCGTAAGTCAGGTAATACTAACAAGAGGCCCAATGGGCCTGCATCGCTCACCTGGTATAAAACTCACACTTGTAACCTTAAAAGTGATCTAAAATAAAGCTACAGGCAAAATATCAGTATTTATGATTAAAATTCATTCAAAAGACCGTTATTTTTTTTAACATTTCACCCCTGTGATTGAAAGTCGAACAAAGTCATTATGTTGAACACATTGTATAGCCTTTCATCTCAGGATGCAACTTGCAAAGTATAAACATCCTG